GCTAATTTTTATATTTTTTGTAGACATGAGATTTCACCGTGTTGACCAGAATGGTCTCTTGACCTCATGATCTGTCCACCTCGGCCTCCCAGTGTGCTGGGATTACAGGCATGAGCCACCACGCCCGGCCAGAATCCCATTTTCAAAACCAGGACACAGCAGTAAATAGTGTAAGTACAAATACCAGAGGCTCTTGCTCTTTCGTGCCCACGTTTCCGGGTGGACTGTGCCGGGTGCTTGTTCTTGTGGGCACTGAGCCTCCTGTCAGTAAATTGAGTATGCAGATAGGAAGGCTCATCTGAAATTAGAAACAGCTGGGATGGGAGCAGGCTGGCAGGTGTTCCTGCTGATGGCTGGCACCCCCATTAACAGAAAACGGAGCCAGGTGGAGCGTGGCTCCTACGTCCGACTCCACAGATCTCATCCCTTCACCCTGGGACCACGCATGAGGAGGTAGGCTCTGTCCAGCCAGTTCTTACCAACGTAATTAACATGTGCGTGTGCTTTTGCTCTTCCATGTGGAAGTCAAGCAGCGTGGACATTCTCACACCTTTCCACCACTGTCATGTTTTTTTTTAAATATCTTATTTTTAACAGATAAGTAGATGCACATGGCTCAAAGCTCAAAATGATGAAAAATATACATGTAGAGTCTAGTTGTCACCATGGACCTCCTTGCACCCTAGTCAGCCACCTGTATGTAACCACTTTCATTAGTGTTCTATATATCCTTTCAGTGATTCTTTATGCATCTATTCATTCTTTCATTCAACTATTCAATATATATTTACATTCTTTCATTATAGGAACTGTGCTATATCCTAGGCTACTATATTTTAGGAACTACTTTAGGAATATATTCTTCCTTTCATGGAGCAAAAATTCTTCCTTGCATTTGGTTTATAACCTGGGAAGGGGTAGACAAGCAATAACATAAGAAAACAGAAAGTAATGGAGTAAGGGAGGGTGGCGGCGCGGAGGTTTGAAGAGGGCCCATTGCAATTTTAAATGAGGTGATTAGGGTAGACCTCACTGAGTGAGTGATGTTTTGAGCAGAAGTTTGAAATAAGGTGAGGAATTGAGCTATGAGGGTATCCGAGGGAAGAGCATTCCAGACAGAAGGAACAAGTCATACAAAGGCCCTACGCAGAGCATGCCTATTGTATTCAAGGAATAGCAAGGACCTACGTGCGACTGGAGGGGAGACCGTGAGGGAAAGTGGTAAGCATTGAAGTCAGAGAGGGAGGGGAAAGGAGAACAGACCATGCAAAGCCTTTTCAGCCTTTTGTTTACTCTGAATGCAGTGGGGACCCAGTCTCAGATTCTGAGCGTCATGATCTGGTTTACATATCGACAGAATCTCTGTGGCTAAGGTGTAGAGAATAGGCTGTGAAGGAAGAAAAGGTGAAAAAAGAAAGAAGCTGGTGTGGAGGTTATTGCAATAACTTAAGAAAGGAATGATGGTGCCTTAAAGTTGGGAGCAGTAGAAGTAGTCAGTGGTCAGACTCCGGGCTTATTGTGAAGTAAGCACTAATGAGTTGAGTATTATTAGGTGTGGGAGAAACAAGAGTTAATTATGACTCTAACGTTTTCAGCTGGGAAGACGTTGGGACAATAGATTTCTATCAGCTGAGAGGAAAACTGAAAAGCAAGTTAGGGAGGGAAGATTGGGAATTTGATTATGCACAAATTAAGTTTTGAATGCCTTTTAGACATCCAAGAAGACATGCCAAGTGGGTATTGGATCTAAATTTGCGAGTTGTCAGGATGTGAATGGTATTTAGCTGTGAGACGAGATGAGAATGCCAAGGGAGTGAATATATATAGAAGTGAGGAGGTGGACCAGCGCTGAGCCCTGGGACACTCTAATGTTAACAGCTGAGGGTGGCGGGGGAAGAGAAATAGCAAAAGACGTCTAGAGGAAATAGAAGGAACAAACAGGAAAACTAGGGCACTGCAGTGTCCCAATGCCTAGTGAAGGCGGTTTCTCAGGCAGGAGAAAGTGACAAATTGTGTGAAACGCTGCTGGTGGTTGAGTAAAACCACTGGCTTTAGCCGCGTGAAAATCACTGGTTGTTTATGCCAAAATCAGTTTCAGTGAAGTGGTGGAGGTGAAAACCAGGTAAGTGGGGTTAAGAGGGAATTTGTAAGAAGTCGAAGACAGTTTAAATGTAGACTTCTTTTTCTGGGAGTTTTGCCACAAAAGGGTACAAAGAAATGAGGCAATAGCTAATGGGTATAGTGGAGTCAAGAGTAAGGATTTTATGAGATAGGAGAAATAATGTGTACTATTGTGAGTGATCCGGGAAAGAGGGGAGGAATGATAGAGAAGAAAGTGGAATTTCTGGGGTAGTAATCCTAGTAGGCTTGAGGGGATAGCCTCCCCCTTTGTTATCATTGTAGTTATGATAAAGTATAATAAAAAAGCAAAAAAAACCTTTAGCTCCAAGATTGAAGCAGCAATATGGCTAACACAGAGGCATTTCTTATAAAAGGTAGCATTTTATGGCCACTGTCCCGCACCTTGCATTTTTCTAACAACCTGTGCTGCTTTTCATAACAGTATGTGGAGAATTTTCTCTTTTTCACAGCTGCATACTATTTCATTGGAAGGCTGTGCCATAGTTTAAGTAACTATGCCCTGAAGGGTGGACACCTGTGTGCTTCCAAGCTTTTACTGTCATAAACAATGTTTCTCTGAATAACTCTGGTTATTTTCTTTAAAAATTAATTTTTTTTAAGAGAGAGGGTCTCAACCTGTTCCCCAGGCTGAAGTGCAGTGATATAATCATGGTTCACTATAGCCTTGAACTCCTGGGCTCAAGCGATTCTCCCACCTTACCCTCCCAGGTAGCTAGGACTACAGGCATTTCACTACCAAGCCTGTCTATTTTAAATGTTTTGTAGAGATGGAGTCTCACTATGTTGCCCAGACTGGCCTGAACTCCTTGCCTCAAGTGAAATTTGTAGATACCTCATCTCATCTGTGTTAGCCATATTGCTGCTTCAATATTAGAGCTAAAGTTCAGTCTATCAACATTTTTTTTTCTTTTTAAAAATTATACCTTAAGTATAATTGTTATATCGGTATACACGTGCCATGGTGGTTGGCTGCATCCCTCACCCCATCATCTGCATTAGGTATTTCTCCTAATGCTATTCCTCCCCAGCCCCCTACCCCCCGACAGGCCCCAGTGTGTGATGTTCCCCTCTCTGTGTCCATGTGTTCTCATTGCTCAGCTCTCACTTACAAGTGAGAACATGTGGTGTTTGGATTTCCCTTCTTGTATTAGTTTGCTGAGAATGATGGTTTCCAGCTTTATCCATGTCCCTGCAAAGGACATGAACTCATCCCTTTTTATGTCTGCATAGTATTCCATGGTGTATATGTGCCACGTTTTCTTTATCCAGGCTATCACTGATGAGCATTTGGGTTGGTTTCAAGTCTTTTGTATTGTGAACAGTGCCACAATAAACATACATGTGCATGTGTCTTTATAACAGAATGATATAATCCTCTGGGTACATACCCAGTAATGGGATTGCTGGGTCAAATAGTATTTCTATTTCTAGATACTTGAGGAATCACCATACTGTCTTCCCCAATGGTTGAACTAGTTTACACTCCCACCAACAGTGTAAAAGTGTTCCTATTCCTCCACATCGTCTCCAGCATCTCTTGTCTCCTGATTTTTTAATGATTACCATTCAAACTGGCATGAGATGGTATCTCATTGTGGTTTTGATTTGCATTTCTCTAATGACCAGTGATGATGAGCCTTTTTTTGATATGTTTGTTGGCTGCATAAATGTCTTCTTTTGAGAAGTGTCTGTTCATATCCTTTGCCCACTTTTTGATGGGGTTGTTTTTTTCATTTAAAAACTGTTTTTTTTTTTCTTGTAAATCTGTTTTACTTCTTTGTAGATTCTGGATATTAGCCCTTTGTCAAGTGGGTAGATTGCAAAAATGTTCTCCTATTCTGTAGGTTGCCTGTTCACTCTAATGATAGTTTCTTTTGCTGTGCAGAAGCTCTTTAGTTTAATTACATCCCATTTGTCTGTTTTGGCTTTTGTTGCCATTGCTTTTTTAGTCAGGAAGTCTTGCCCATGCCTATGTCCTGAATAGTATTGCCTAGGTTTTCTTCTTGAGTTTTGTTTTTTTTTTTGAGACGGAGTTTCACTCATGTTACCCAGGCTGGAGTGCAATGGCGCGATCTTGGCTCACTGCAACCTCCGCCTCCTGGGTTCAGGCAATTCTCCTGCCTCAGCCTCCTGAGTAGCTGGGATTACAGGCACACGCCACCATGCCCAGCTAATTTTTTGTATTTTTAGTGGAGACGGGTTTTCACCATGTTGACCAGGATGGTCTCGATCTCTTGACCTCGTGATCCACCCGCCTCGGCCTCCCAAAGTGCTGGGATTACAGGCTTGAGCCACCGCGCCCGGCCTCTTCTTGAGTTTTTATAGTGTTAGGTCTTATGTTTAAATCTTTAATCCATCTGGAGTTAATTTTTGTATAAAGTGTAAGGAAGGGATCCAGCCTCAGCCTTCTGCATGTGGCTAGCCAGTTTTCCCAACACCGTTTATTAAACAGGGAATCCTTTCCCCATTGCTTATTTTTGTCAGGTTTATCAAAGATCAGGTGGTTGTGGATGTGTGGCATTATTCTGAGGTCTCTGTTCTGTTCCATTGGTCTATATCTCTGTTTTGGTACCAGTATAATGCTGTTTAGATTACTGTAGCCTTGTAGTATAGTTTGAAGTCAAGAAGCATGATGCCTCCAGCTTTTTTTGTTTGTTTGTTTATTTTAAATTTTACTTAGGATTGTCTTGGCTTTGCAGGCTCTTTTTTGGTTCAATATGAAATTTAAGGTGTTTTTTTTCTAATTCTGTGAAGAAAGTCAGTGGCAGCTTGATGGGGATAGCATTGAATCTGTAAATTACTTTGGGCAGTATGGCCATTTTCATAATATTGATTCTTCCTAACCATGATTATGGAATGTTTTTCCATTTGTTTGTGTCCTCTCTTATTTCCTTGAGCAGTGGTTTGTAGCTCTCCTTGAAGAGGTCCTTCACCTTCCTTGTAAGCTGTATTCCTAGGTATTTTATTCTCTTTGTAGCAATTGTGAATGGGAGCTCACTCATGATTTGGCTGTCTGTAATTGGTGTATAGGAATGCTTGTGATTTTTGCACATAGATTTTGTATCCTGAGACTTTGCTGAAGTTGCTTATCAGCTTAAGGAGATTTTGGGCTGAGATGATGGAGTCTTCTAAATATACAATCATGTCCTCTGCAAAAAAAGACAATTTGACTGCCTCTTTTCCTAATTGAATACCTTTATTTCTTTTTCTTGCCTGCTTGCCCTGGCCAGAACTTCCAATACTGTCTTGAATAGGAGTGGTGAGAGAGGGCATGCTTGCTTTGTGCGTGTTTTCATAGGGAATGCTTCCAGTTTTTGCCCATTTAGGGTTTGTCATACATAGCTCTTATTATTTTGAGATATGTTCCATTGATAACTAGTTTATTGAGAGTTTTTAGCATAAAGGGCTGTTGAATTTTGTCGGAGGCCTTCTCTGTATCTATTAAGGTAATCATGTGGTTTTTATCTTTGGTTCTATTTATTTGACGGATTACATTTACAGATTGGCATATCTTGAACCAGCCTTGCATCCCAGGGATGAAGCCAACTTGATCATGATGGATAAGCTTTTTGATGTGCTGCTGGATTTTGTTTGCCAGTATTTTATTGAGGATTTTTGCATTGATGCTCATCAGGGATATTGGCCTGAAATTCTCTTTTTTAGTTGTGTCTCTGTCAGATTTTGATATCAGGATGTTGCTGGCTTAACAAAATGAGTGAGAGAGGATTCCCTCTTTTTGTATTGTTTGGAATAGTTTCAGAAGAAATGGTACCAGCTACTCTTTGTACTTCTAGTAGAATTTGGCTGTGAACCCATCTGGTCGTGGACGTTTTTGGTTGGCAGGCTGTTAATTGCTGCCTCAACTTCAGATCTTGTTATTGGTCTATTCAGGGATTCGACTACTTCCGGTTTTAGTCTTGGGAGGGTGTAATGTCCAGGAATTTATCTATTTTTTCTAGATTTTCTGGTTTATCTGCACAGAGGTGTTTATAGTGTTCTCTGATGGTAGTTTGTATTTCTGTGGGATTGGTGGTGATATCCCCTTTAACATTTTTTATTGCATCTATTCGATTCTTCTCTTTTTTCTTCTTTATTAGCCTGGCTAGCAGCCTATCTATTTTGTTGATCTTTAAAAAAAAAAAAAACCAGGCCCTGGGTTCATTTATTTTTTGAAGGGTTTTTTTTGTGTATGTGTGTGTGTCTCTATGCCCTTTGGTTCTGCTCTGATCTTAGTTCTTTCTTGTCTTCTACTAGCTTTTGAATTTGTTTGATCTTGCTCCTCTAGTTCTTTTAATTGTGATGTTAGGGTGTCGATTTTAGATCTTTCCTCATTTCTCTTGTGGACATTTAGTGCTATAAATTTCCCTCTATACACTGACTTAAATGTGTCCCAGAGATTCTGGTATGTTGTGTCTTCATTCTCATTGGTTTCAAAGAACATCTTTATTTCTGCCTTCATTTCATTATGTGTTCGGTAGTCATTCAGGAGAAGGTTGTTCAGTTTCTATGTAGTTGTGTGGTTTTGAGTGAGTTTCTTAATCCTGAGTTCTAATTTGATTGCACTGTGGTCTGAGAGACTGTTATGATTTCCATTCTTTTGCATATGTGGAGGAGTGTTTTACTTCCAATTATGTGATCAATTTTAGAATGAGTGCCATATGGTGCTGAGAAGAATGTGTATTCTGTGGATTTGGGGTGGAGAGTTCTGTAAATGTCTATTAGGTCTGCTTGGTCCAGAGCTGAGTTCAAGTCCAAGATATACTTGTTAATTTTCTATCTTGTTGATGTGTCTAATATTGACAGTGGGGTGTTAAAATCTTCCACTATTATTGTGTAAGAGTTTTTGTCTTTGTAGGCCTCTAAGAACTTGCTTTATGGGTCTGGGTGCTCCTGTGTTGGGTGCATGTATATTTAGGATCATTAGCTCTTCTTGTTATGTTGATCCCTTTACCATTTTATAATATCCTTCTTTGTCTCTTT